GGCAATTAGTGCTTTGTTGAGCAACCAATGCATTGAAACAGTTGTGTTTATACCAGGCAAAGTATTACTGAAGTACTATCTGCAAAGTCAAATGAAACACCTTATGTTTACATATTCCTGAAACAATTTTTTTGAAGTATTCATTCTATGCGAATTTAACTACTAGAGGAATTCTTAAGCAACTAGCCCAATTTGACTCAAGTGAATACTATTTAAAGGACCATACTCAACCAAATACGAAATAAACACTTGCGGAAATGGAAACGGTACAAAGATTGCTGAAGTATTCACTAAAGACCACTTATATACTATGTCTGAAAAGCACAATTTGCATGAGCAAGCTTAAAAATGCACAATAATGGAAATGGAAGCGGTTCTACTTACACAACGATGAAACAAAGATGTCTGAAGTATTCAATAAAGACCACATATATACTATTCCAAAAAAATCCAACTTGCACAATCAGGCTTAAAAAATGCACAAGAATCCTAGAAAAGTACTTAGTGAAGGCCATACACAAGCAAATTCACAAATACATAAAAAACATCCAAAAGCGCAAGCTTTTCAGGAGAATCTCTGGTAAAGTTTGGATTATAGGGTTTTGGGGTATTCCTGGACGAGTAGGAGTCACTTTTTAAGCAAACAATTCTAAGCAATAAATGCTTTTTCTCAAGACAAGTATTGCAAATGCTGCTTCTAGATAATTAATCGCATTTACCAGGCAAATATTATCCATGCGAATTGAGCTACCAGAGCACCAAGTAATGGCTGAATAAGGTCTACTACACTTGAGTACAACCAAAAGATGCACTAACCACTAGCGGCTCTACTTACATAATAACGAAACAAATAGTTCTGAAGCACTAGAAAGACCACTTGTATACTATTTCTGAAAAGCACAATTAGCATAAGCACACTTAAAAATGCGTAGTTGTTGCCTCGTGACCGTGAAGGCGAACCAAAAAAAAAACCAAAAAAAAACCAAAAAAACAAAACCAAAAAAACCAAAAAAAAAAACCAAAAAACAAAATTACCAAAAAAACATTTTCCGGGACTCTTGGAGAAGCCTCATAGGGATTTCCTGAGAGTCCCGGAAAATTGGTTTTTTTGGTATTTTTGGTTTTTTTGGTTTTGGTTTTTTTGGTTTTGTTTTTTTGGTTTTTTTGGTTTTTTTGGTTTTGGTTTTTTGGTTTTTTTGGTTTTGGTGTTTTTGGTTTTTCTACTGTCCCGTGTATGCGATTTTTAGTTGTATTTTAGTCTACGCCCTAGGAATACGCTATATTGCACACCGAGTTTGCTTGCAGTGCAGCTGGGTGACTTGAGACAAGGCGAAAAAGGTAGGTCACTGGGGGGGGGGGGGGGGGGTACCATATATATATATATATGTACATATATTCAAAATTTTATTTCACGTATTTTCAGAGACATATATATAAATATGTAATGTAAAGCTAGGTAAGGTAAGGTAAGGTCATGCAATGTAATGTAATGTGTAATGTAATGTGTAATGTAATGTGTAATGTAATGTGTAATGTAATGTGTAATGTAATGTGTAATGTAATGTGTAATGTAATGTGTAATGTAATGTGTAATGTAATGTGTAATGTAATGTGTAATGTAATGTGTAATGTAATGTGTAATGTAATGTAATGTAATGTAATGTAATGTAATGTAATGTAATGTAATGTAATGTAATGTACACACATGTCCGTACCTTCGTATAACTACACACACACATATATATGTATATAGGTTCATATTCACATTATATATTGGAAACCAAAACCTTCTTCCATAGGTACCAAGTCCAGTCTAAGGCTGTTCGTGCAATCATCTACATGGGATGCACGCGTCCAGCCCTGAACTTCCTTTGAGTTCCATTGGAGCTCAAAGATACAAGGACGCAGTTGAGTAGTTGTGGGCTTGGAATAGACTTGCATGTCTTGAGGTGGGACACCTTCAAAATGCTGAAGCTCACCTTGGCTTTGCCCACCGGAAGCTTCTGAACAGAAGGACCTGAGTGCAGACCGAGAGCGGAGCCGTATCCTCGTATATCCTCGCACACGCGCCTTCGAAATGAGTTTCGAGGAAGGGTGAGGGGAAAGATGGCGCGGCTCCCAGCATAGTTGCTAGACATGCTGCCCACAGTCGGCCACGACAGAAACATAAAAGGTTTTTATTGGTCAAGCGTGTGGCCGCCCCCCCTACAGGGGCAGGGGTCCGCGAGTGGGCGCAGGAGACATGGGCAAACCCTGTTTAGAACCACCTAAAGCGCAGTCAAACCCTACCTAAACCCTAAACCACCCCAAATAGCAAATCTGAAGCCGCGGCATGCGACAAAAGCTTTTGGCAATAGCGTGTTTCTCGCGCTGAAGTCTGTGGCTGGCCGGAGGAGTCTCAAGGTTCTGTGACGGTTCTGTGGTTCTGTGGTGTGTGTGTCTCGTGTTTGTTTCAATATTTGAAGCCGACCAAGTGCATGGCTCAGGCCTGATAAAAGTACCGCTTGGGCAGTCTACAATCTGCCAGGTCTCTTCAAAATGTCTCTGTGTTTCATGACAAAACCGAAACCCCAAAACCAAAGGCAAATCTAAGAAGTACTCGAATCTAATTCCTTTAAAAAAGACGAAGCAAAGAGCCAGTGCCGGCACCCCAAAAGCTCTCACCACGCGGGTTGAGAAGTTACATATCTCTCTGAAATTTCCAGCGATGCTTCTTCCGTAAAGGCTTCAGAATTCCCAAAAAAAGAGAGAGAACCCAACCGCTCTCGGAGCAGGTCTTGCTGGGGTGCAACTTCTATGCGAACGAGACCGTGACAGCCCAACGCCCACCAAAACCCTTGAAGCGGACGAGACCGTTACAGGCCCAGAACGAGACCGTGACAGCCCGAAACCCCTAGAAGCCGACGAGGCCGTGACAGCCCAAAACCGCCCAAAAACCCTTAGAAGCGGACGAGCCCAAAACCCCTAGAAGCGGACGAGACCGTGAGAGCTCAAAACACCCCAAAACCCTCAGAAGCGGACGAGACCGTGACAGGCCCAAAACCCCTAGAAGCGGACGAGAACATGACAGCTCAAAACCCCTAGAAGCACACGAGACCGTGACAGCCCAAAATCGCCCAAAAACCCTTAGAAGCGGACGAGCCCAAAACCCCTAGAAGCGGACGAGACCGTGACAGCCCAAAACCCCTAGAAGCAGACGAGACCGTGACAGCCCAAAACGCCCCAAAACCCTTAGAAGCAGACGAGACCGTGACAGGCCCAAACCCCTAGAAGCGGACGAGGCCGTGACAGCCCAAAACCCCCCAAAAACCCCTAGAAGCGGACGAGACCGTGACAGACCCAAAACCCCTGAAAGCGGACGAGACCGTGACAGGCCCAAACCCCTAGAAGCGGACGAGACCGTGACAGGCCCAAAACCCCCAGAAGCGGACGAGACCGTGACAGCCCGGAACCCCTAGAAGCGGCTGGAAACCTTAAATTCTAAGCCTTATAAACGTTAAGCCTTAAACCCTGAATAGGGTTTAAGGTTTAGGGTGTAAGATTTCGGCCTGCTGTTGCTGCTGCTTTAGCAGCCGCTGCTGCTTTTGCTTTTGCTGTTGCTTTTGCTGGGGGGAGTCGGGGGGGAGTGGGGGGGGAGTGGGGGGAGTGCTTGTTTTGTAGCCTTGGACCCTTAGTTCGCCAAGCGCCGGCTGCGTACAACCCCATTTGTGCCATGACCCCTTAGTCTGCAAGCATTTTACTTCGAACCTCCCCACCCTCTCTTGGTAGAGATGCTTTGGGGTTGGGCACTCCAGGAACAGTCTGGGTTGGGCACTCCAGGAAGACTCTGGGGTTGCTGGGAACACGCTGGTCCAGGCTCTGGGGTTGGGTTGTGCAATTCGGGGACACTTTGGGCTCTGGGGTTGGGCACTCCAGGGAGACTCTGGGGCTGGGCACTCCGGGGACACTCTGGAGGGAGACTGTGGGTTTGGGCACTCCAGGCACACTCTAGAATTGGGCACTCCAGGGACACTTTGGGGGTTGGGCACTCCGAGGAGTAGACCGGGCGAGGAGAAGAGTTCCGGGCGAGGAGAAGAGTTGAGTTTAAAATCTAACAACCCCACACCGAGGGTGGGGAAAAAATAGAAAGAGATGAAGGCTCCACAATGCCCGCTTTGAGACATCGAGCTACGGACGTCGATGATGAGCATCTTCGATACCGCGCCCGATCGGTGTATTTTCCAAAATGGACGAGAAAACAAGATCTATGCCAATCTATGCGGAATTTTTCAAACATCGCCACATGCATTTTTCCCACCCCCTGCTCCCACTACGTCGTCCCTGGCCCTGTCCCCTAGACTGGGAAAAGACTGGGGGGAGAGTGGGGGGAGAGTGGGAGCAAGTGGGGAGTGCGGGGGAGTGGGGGTCGAAGGTCTGGCATGTGTAAACGAATTTGTATTTGTTGTTGTTGACTATGACCTCAAAGCCCTAGCCCTGTCGCCCGTCCCCCGACAAAGAAACCTGAACCCTACACCCTACACCTACAAGCCTATAAGTCCTTGTCTGCTTTGGCCATGGCTACGGGCGACAACCCCGTTAGGTAAAGCTATTTAAAGCTAGCTTTGGTAGACCGGGAAGGGGAGAAACATGTGATCGTCAGCAGCGGCTTTTGAGGGTATCCTGACCTTTTCTCAATAAGCGTTGAACCCAACATGCGCCACATGCCCAACATACCTCCGAAGCACACGCACAGAGCTACCTTGCACATCGTTGCATCCTCTCAACCAAGGAGGCAGTGATGCAACTTCAGAGGCCTCAGCGACCAACACAGTGCAAGAAACCGTGGCAGTGCGACTTGGCACAAGAAACCCGCCCGTCAGCCCCAAAACCCCCTTGGCCTTAAAACCTTGGCCCTTGAGAAGCTTGCGAGGTCAGGAGACGCTGTGGGCGGTCTCGAAGTCATCAAAATGGGGAGTGTGGTGGGCTTGGCAGTGCTTCCAGCTGTGGTCCATACGCAAATTATGTCGAGCTCCAACCCTCAGGCCGACATCAAGAGGAATCTGGAAACTGTCCGAATTCAGCGCGCCGTCTGTGAGGCAAGTTGATGTGAGCTGATGCAAGCTGTGACATGGGCTCATGCAAGGCGATGCCAACAACCATGCCTCAAAATGCCGTCTTGTTCGGCGACCTGCCGGCGCAGTGTGAGGCGAGGCGAAGCGACTTTGTGACCCCCAAATGATAAACAGTTCTTTGCAAATCTGCCCATGTCTGCCGTATCTGCACGGGTGTCATTGATAACGTGGCACGAGACTGCTTGGCAGCCGAGAGGCTGAAGCCTGGCATGCTGAAAGAACCAGCATGTGTTTTGGTTTTTTGAGCTCGCCCGATGGCTCGATTTCCCTCGGAATGCAAGATGAAAACAGGGTTAAGCCTGACTCCTTTTCAAGCCTTGTGCGAAGGGATGTCACATGATTTCACACTCTGCCAACTCGGGAGCTTTGCCGGTTTACAGGTGGCCGAGCTCTTGATGGTCAACGGGCACTTCAAGTTGGCTTTGAAGGCAAGATTATGAAGATTGGCTGTGATTTGCATACTTCTCTGTACGAAATGTGATGTCAGTTGCTCTTCAGGTGATCGAATTCCTGGATTTGCCGGCCGTGGAGCTGTGCATTCGTGCGCCATTGTGCTCAGCCAGCGGATGGGTTGGAAAGTAGCCCAATGTAGCCCAGCAAGCAGAAGGAATTGACAAGAACAGTGAGGCAAGAATGTTTTCCACTGCTCCTGGCAAGGTCAAATCAAATAGCCACCCAGCAGGCGAGATGTCCAACTGGATCCATCGCACCAGCTAAGAGCTTGGCACTACTTGCTCACAGTGAGGAGCTGCACTTGTTTGGAAGCATGATGCCCCTCAGGTAGTGAAATTCTTGGAGGCTTGGATGTCAAGTGTTGGCATGTGTCTGCAGAACAGATGGCGCTGGGCATTGGCTGAACGACACTTGTGCATGGAACAGTAGCACACAGTAGCACTCTTGTGTCTGGCTCATCAGGCCATTCCCAAGCTGCCGCCTGTGGAATGGGTGCGGGGCCCATGGCAACTTTGATTCCTGCCACTTCAGATGTTCTGTCGCAGGACAGCCTTGTTTCCAACGTGGTGAATATTTGGATCATCGAGAAGGACCACTGTCCCAGAAATCCCCCCGTCAGCAAAGAGACGGCCTTGACATACTCAAGACATATTCAAGCGCCTATCTGCCAGGAGGAGCTGAAGGCAGATCGCTCGGCCGCCTCCCAGCTGGTACCATATATTCAAGACGAAAGGCGGGTGTGTGCCGAAGATTGTGTCAAGTCGTGCCATTGCTGTCAAATCGTATAAAAGATACGCGCAAGGTGCAAGATGGATGCCCTCATTCTCATCGGCAATCTGTACAATGCATTTCAGATCGCACAAAGGCCTGGGCCGAACTTCAGAAATCAGTCTCAGCCTCTTTGAGGTTCCACCTCCTTCAATATCCCAATGCTCTTCAAACGTTCAGGAACTGCTATTCTTTCTTTTGATCAAAAGTTGGATCCGTGGGGATGCTACCCTCAAGGACGGTGTAACAGTATTTACGCAAGTGGTTTTGTTGGTCCGCCATCCTCTTGCTGTTCTGCACTTGGATTGATCCCTTCCTCCTTGGTGTGCTAGTCCATGTTCCTGGATTATTTCTCCTACACACATGCACACCATACCCCCCCGCGGTCTGTCCCGCTCCCTTGCCCACAACCCTCGTGTGCCTTCGTCTCCAATCCCTTGGCCCCGCAAAACACTATTGTCCCTACAAGATCCTGCCAACTTCTCTGAACATCATGCCGTTGAAGCTGCTTTGGAGGGTGACATAAAGAGATCCTGGAAGGCTTGGCAGCATGCAAGACGTCCTGCACATCAATTCGCGAGCCCAGGCAACCGGTGACCAGGACGTCAGCTTTCGATGCTGTTCGGATCACATAGGCAGCATGAGGCAGCTCCATGTTTCTCGAGGGGTTAGGCGCGCTGCAAGCAAGCAAGCAAGCAAGCAAGCAAGAGTTGACCGCCCAGAGAGGTTAGCAGGTCAACGTCCAAAAAAACAGCCCAACATGCCCACAGCGCTTTCGATGCAACCACTGACCTTTGGAATTTTCTATTGGTACTGGATAGGGTCGTCGAGCTGGTGGACGCTCGGGTGGCAATCATCTGTCTGGCGAGGGTAGGATGCCAAACAGCCGACGCATGCATGTGGAGACCCTCCCTGATGGCTGATGCGCTGCTGGAAGCGGACTCGAACCAGAATGTTTTCAACATGAACAAACACATGTGGAGGCCGAATGATAAACTCAGACCTAACGAATTGGTTCTCATCAAACTGTGCTACGATGTGAGACAGTCAGTTGCAACTAGGCAACCAAAACAACACCGTGAGAAGACTGACGAAACTAATGCGTGACCGATCTTGGTTCCCGCAAGGGTCAACGGCACTTTCGGCCACCCGGGGATGGCAAAAGCTAGGGTTCGCACGCGACTGGCGGCGTCCGAACATGGACGTGGCAGGATTTAGAAGTCTCCGGCTCAGTCCGCCGACGCAGGAGGCCCAGAAACCGTCTTGGCAGCAGGTGTCCCTCCGCGCAGGGGCGAACTTAAATCCACCAAGAACCCATGTTGCTGCATTTACAGAAGAGAACCTGGAAACCTTTTGAGGAGCAGGCAATCCCTATCCTGGCTAATGTTATGAAGAAGAGAGATCCTCCGGGAGCAGGCAAGTCCTTCACAAGAACCCCCACCACTTTTTCACTGGATTTCTAGGCGGTCCTCAGGACCGGCAGGACGTTTCCAGGACGATTTCAAGTAGCTCAGTACCCTGGTCGGTTCCACGGTGCGGTACCCTCCCCCTTCATGTTGAGGGAAAAGGGAAGGGTTTCTCCCCACAACCACCAATTCAGGGTCAGCGGATAAGAAGGACAATCATTAAGACCGTGAGGCACTTGTTTCGCCCCACTGGCTGCAGGAGCTCTTAAAGCAGATTGCCACCTTCATGGCCTACAACCCCATTGCCAAGAAGAGGCCACATCGCATGTTGGCTGTGACTGTTTCCCCTGGCCAGTGCCTAGTTGCTGGCGTACGTACCAGGCCGTGAGAATATGGCCTCCCTCTTCGTGATGCTGATCACCAGGAGACCGCACGGCCGCAGCCTTGCCATCAGCATCTCATCTCTTATAGCATTGCATGTCACAGAAGTTGTGTTTCAAGGCCATCTTAGCAGGCAAGTTGCACTGCTCAGTGGACGACATCCTCGAAGTTTCCGACTACACCTGCCCTGCTGTGCTGGTCATGGCGGCCGTGCCCTTGCTCTCGGCAGGGGAGCAAGCGACAGCGACTTGCTGAACATGTCAGTGTTTCCGGTACCGGCGAGAGAGAATCCGGAGTCGCTGAACCAGGCAAGTACTCGTTTCGCCATCAAGTCACATGACCCACTTCGTCGAAAATCGTGTCGTTGGAGCAGTGGATCAGGGAGGACTGAAGTCGTCACTCGGAATAAGAGGAGCACCTCAAGCAGCTTGCACAGGAGAAAAATGCTCGGATGCTGCTGCGAATTGATCTAACGAGGTGTGGGAGTTCTGTGCCCGATCGCTGGCATGCGCAGGTGGCTCTTTGGGCTTGGGATATTGTGGTGGACAACTGCGCGATTTGTAGCAGCTTGGCATAGCTTGGCTGGAGGTGCGCAGTAACCCGGATAACATGGCAACCGTGACTGTCTAGTGAGTCTAGCCTGGGAATCTGGGAAACCCAGGTTTGCTTTATCGTGCACTGCAGAGCTAAGGAAATCACATCATGGACCTTTGCATCGAGTGCCAGGCGAATAAGACATCGCATGTGCCAGAACTCGACGAGATTAGGGAGGTTGAGTAAACAGTTGACCCAAAAAACTATGAAGCTTGTATGGTGGCATGTCAGGCGAATCAAGGCTCACATACATCCGAGGCAAGCTGTCAAGTCTGCATTTGACATGCTTTAAAGGCTTTAGGGTGTGGGAGGATGTCTCCTTTTGTCCAGGAGTGCACCGTCGCTTGGGGTGTTTGCAATCACGCGTTTCTTGGCCAACTTCATATGTTTGTTTTTCCAGTGGCAATCAGAAGCACATCTGGCTGAGGTTCTGGCTTTGCACGTTTTCAGCTGATGTAGCGCTGCGTACAGGTTCCACTTTCACTGCATCTCGCGATGGCTGAAAACTCGTCAGGCCTTGCTGCGTATTTTGCTGCTTGTTTTATTGGGCCTTCAAGATCTATTTTAGTCCTGAAGCTGAGACACTCCCCAGACTGGAATGCAGACACACACATGCAACTCTTAGTCCCGCACGCGCTTAGTTTCAGCATGTTACAGAGATGCTCTGACGCACTGTTTGTGGGAATATGGTGCCTTGATACGTATATCGGGCAAATCGCCAGTACAAACCTGCAACAAGTTGATGAAACTAGCTTCGCAACCCGGAAGTGCTTTGCACACACAATGTTGTCATTCCTTGCCCGCGTTGGCCCAGTCGAATTCTTAAACAATGCTGTTGCTTTACCGGAGGTCTGCCCACTGGACAATGGCGAGTGGGAATTCCAGAAATACGGCAGGCGGATGTCAAAATGCAATGGATATACCTTTCCCACACACTGCCCCATAGACTGCTCCAGCACTGCATGTCAGCATTGGCTTCTCCGGCAGGTGAGCAGCTAGTGAACCAAATTCGGATTCGTGCTGTCTCTTGCAGCTGACAGCCGAGAGTCAGGAAGATCACCGTGAATCCTGCTTATTGTTGTGGGAGCGTTGAGGGTGTTGCGGGCATGGTCAATACTGTACCGCTGGAAGGGTACATGCCATGTTCAAGCAAGGTTGGTTGTTGGGTTCCCCCTTTGACGTCGCAACAATCCTGTAGCTAGAGATGGCATGACGCCAGTCGCAAGTGCTGGAAGTCAGAGATCGAGCATGACAAGCAAGGAGTTGCAAAAACACTTCGACGAGTGAACAGAGCCATGAAAGTGAACTGCATCACACTGTACATACTTGGCCACTTCTGTTCGCTTGCAAGTTGAAAGTGCTTGTATGGGCCAAGGGCCAGGGCTCAAAGCCAGATCGTGAGGTTCTGAAGTTCTGAAGGTTCTGGGAACGGTTCCATCTATACAACGCGCGAGCATGTGGTATGCAGCGGTATGCATGATGCATGCATGGCATGCGAACAACGAAAACAAAAGACAGCATGCTGCAAGAATACCGGAGCAGATCACCGGGGTTTGCTTAGGCTTAGAGAAGCTGAGGAACTGTGAGCAAATTCCGTGCGGACATGAGTGGGAATCTCCAAGATGTTGCGGCCCAGCTGCGCCCACCTTCGGCTCCGAGTGGCGCCTCGTGGGCTTTGCCTCGGCTGGCGACTGCGCTGTCCGCCAGGTCGCCTTCAAGATGCCCAAAGTGCCCGCAGTGATCCGCAGTGACAAGTGAAGAAGCCGCAGACCATCGCATGCGCTCAGTTTGCCTCGCCAGGTCGAGCCTTCGGCTCCGAAGGCGACGAGGTGCGGGAGCTGGATCCACATGGCCCAAAGGGGCCAAAGGCCTTCAACGGTGAGCCATCGACCTCCAGGACAGGCTTGAGATATGCTTCCATATGCTGCCATAGCCTTCCCATAGTGTTGTTTTCTGGTCTTGCCGTTGGCCGCCGCCAGTAGCAATGCCATCACATCCTTCACTGGCGGCTTGCCCATGAGCCGGGACTTTGACTTGCGGCAGTCGTTCAGAAAGTTCCCGCTGCACAGGGATGTGCAGTAGCTTGGCAGCTGTTCGGCATGAAGGGCACGGCGATCCGAGTGATCTGAGTGCTAGGATTCGCGGTTGCACAAGCCAGAAGAGACAACAATCGGTGCTGAACATTGCATCAAGGCTTGGATTGATGAAGATGGGTGTGTCGGCAGACTCCTGAGCAGATCCCGAATTGTCTGTATGGACAGCATGCCACACTCGTTCGGGTGGGGTGTCGAGGTGCCAACACGTGTACAAGATCTGACGATACCGATGCTTATGGATACTTGACTTGAATGTTACGACTATGTGGGGCCATACTGTACCTGAGCAATCTTAACTTTGGGGTCCGTCGGAGAAGTTCCTCAACCTGCAAAGGAAGGCGTGTCGACTTTCATCCTGGCACAGACCGGCACGGGCAAAACTCTGGCCTATGTGCTTCCGATTGTGCACAAACTGCTCTCCACCAACACGGAAGGCTTGGTTTGACATGCAATGTCGGACTTCAAGCCACTTCAAGCAGAATTGGTGCTGTTTTTGTTGGAAGAAGGCCTCGGGTGCCAATTTAGTTTGCGCGGCTTCTTGGGGTTTATGGTCGTTTATAGTTTCTACTCGTGCAACTTGCTACGGTTCTGCATCCATAACGTCCACGGTTTTGTTGCACTGTCATGTTGCTATGATGCTTTGTGTTTGCCATGGTTCTGTCGTACAGCAATGGTGTTTCTGACAACAGCTTGGGCTTTTCCATCTATGGTGTTTGCGTGCGTGTGAGCTAGCTGGCTAGTTTTTGGATGAATATTGACCGTTTGTTTTGTGTAACTGCTCGGCGCATAAGACTGCCACTGCAGAGGGGCAGAAATCAAGCGAAGGAGATGAGCAACCTAAAGCATAGCTAACATCCGTTGGAAAGTCACTGAGCTGTAGGTTTAGTTAGGCATCCAAGTGGAAAGGCCCTTCCACGAAAACTGCGGAGTCCGGTGCTACCCCAAAAGTGCTCGGGAAAATGCGATGCGGCCCTAACAGTGGCCGTTCTAATCTGTATTCCAAAAACAATGCGTTCCCCACCCCCTCAAGTGGTACTTTTGATGCGCTGTGGAGGCTTCTTCCCAAAGAGCAGAAAACCAAGAGCCATCATCGTGCAGCCCACTCGCGAACTGGCCCTGCAGACCATCAGAGTCGTCCGAAATTTCCCTGTCAGGCGCGAATCTGAATCGTTCGTGATTGCATCCTCTTCCTTCTTGCTGCCACACCTTCCAGGTCAGTGGTCTGTGCTCCGAGCTGCTCCTTTGTCAAGGATCTCTCGCGAAAGTTTTACTAGCTGTTGGCATCTGTTGGCCCCATGTAGTGACGCTGGTGATTTTTACAGATGCCAGGAGACCCAAGCTCTTTTTGCCGGAGTTGATGTGGTCGTGACTACACCGTTTCGCCTCATCTTGCACCTCGGAAAAGCTGACATGGTCTTGAATGAGGCCCAAGACAAGCGCCATAAACATGTAATACTGTATTCCAGATTGTTGTTGTATCGGCGAGGTCCGACACGTGGTGTTTGACGAGGCAGACACGTTGTGCGACACTTTCTATGAGAAGGCCAGGCTGCCAAGCGCAACAACGCTCATGTCGCCGTTCTCTCGAGTTTGAGCGCAAGGACTCCAGCAAGCTTCTGCAGGGGTTGGAGGAGGATTGTCCAACGAAGCCGCAGGCGCCCAGAAGCCACAGCGGTTGTCCTCATTATCATTGAGGCGGCAGAAGGTTCTGTGATCATGCCAGGTGATAATTGTCGGTGCCACTCGCACTGGAGCTGTGTCGGCGTTTTTGCGCAAGCATATGAACAACACGCAGGCACCTTGCCTGCATCGTATCCTGCCTATGTCTCGTCTAATTGGAGTGCCCACTGGTCGTGGGATCTCAGGTCATGCCAGTGGTTACAACCGATGCTCACGTGCCGCCACCACACCTGGAGCAGGCGAAGACAGCCAGCCATCATCCCCCTTCAGCAAAACGTGGGTCTGCAATGTCCAGAGACAGGTATTTGTTCCCACCCGCGGCAAGCGCTTGCTGTCAGTGTTGTGGGACGTTCTTGGAGAGGTGGCCGGCCTGAATGAAGCACCTCAAGTACGGACATTCTTGAATAAGCTATGCAATTCAAGGTTCCAACTGTCGGGAAGAAGACGCTGATTTTCACCAATCGCGCGCCGACGTGCAAGGCTTGACAAGTTCTAATGCGTGGTCAGCACCTGCACATGCCACACTACAGACGCAATCGCTCACAGTCAGCACTTTGCCAGTTTTATCATGTATGCGTGTACCGAAGCAGGTCGTACACAAAAGCCTTCTGGAGCACGGAATGAATGCTGTGTGTTTGCACGGCAACGTGCACCCGGACAAGCGCAAGCAGGTCGAATCCATCTCACGAGCAGTCACGAGCGTGTCATCGTCTTGACATGTCTTGACACACTGAGCACTTGAGAGATCTTGAGAGGCGTGGGAGGCCTTCGGCAAAGCAAAAGCGGACGTTATGGTTTGCACGAACTTGGCCTCTAGGGGCTTGGATTTCAGCCATGTGCACCACGCGTCCTGGCTACATACAGCTAAAACTTCTTTTGTCATCTTTTGTCAGGAAATGACCTGTTGCCACTGTTGCCACTCCTTTCTGCGCCAGGTTGTGATGTACGACTTCCCCCTGAACATGGCTGATTACTTGCATCGAGTTGGGCGCACAGCTCGTGGCGGCCGCGCTGGAAGAGTGACCACAATCACTCCCAGACGATACTGGCCTTTCGTCTCGAAAATCCAGGAGGCGTGCAGCTCAGTAGCATGACTACACATCGGCTTTATGCACCATTCTCAAATGACTTCGGAGCCCGGAGAAAGTCAGAGAGTGGATTGTTGAAAAACACGGCAGGCCACAAAGCAAGGAAAGCCCATTGAAGTCCGCAACATGTCCAAAAAGGTGCCCTGGCACTGCAGCTCAGATTTTCTGGTCTCTTGCGCAACCGCCTTCAACCTGCCAGGTCAAGAAGATACTGGCAATCGAGAGCCTGAGCATGAAGGGGACATGATTATGGCAGTATTCTCTGGTGTAAGGGCATCGTCACAGAACATGTCCGCAGGTCTCGAAACATGTACTTCAGCTGAGGAACTACCAAAAGGTTCTGCAGGCACGCGACATCAGAAAGAGCGTAAAACAAAGGCTAAAGAAGCGGCTCGGCCTACCACCTGCCAGAAACATCGGCTCCAAGGACACATTCAACAGATGCCAAAATCTCAAAGCGCATTCGGCTCTGTGAGATCGTCGTAGAGCAGGGTAGAGCAGGTGTCTGTGCCAGGAGACCAAAGCTGCCATGAAAAGACTGGACCGTCGAATGAAGGCAATTAAGCACATGCGCAGCTTCGGCAGCATGCGTCATGCTAGTAAAGAGAAGTGCAATGTCCCCGCTTATTTGAGACTTGTTTTCTGTGCACAAACTTCCCCACACGCGTGGGGGAATCTGAGGTTTCTTGTGGAAGCGCGGTATCTTGAAGCGAGGGCAGAAGATTCCGCGGATGCCTGATAAGCAAGTCGAGGCAGGAGCCCGTTGTTCGACATCTATTTCAGCTCGTCCTTCTTGGGTTGACATATGTTGGCATACGCTACACGCAAAGGCATCCGAGACACAAACCGTATCAACACTTGTGCGAGCCCGTGACGGACTGCTCCAGGTGGGATTTTGTGGGAATCTTGTGGCGAAGCAACACAAAGTAGACGAATCCAATTAGAGCTGACAGCGGAGGTTGTGCCAAGCCGACGGCGTGTGAACAGAAGGGCGGACCGACCGGAGAACGTCGGGCACACAGGGCATGGGACAAGGCTTTCCTTTATCTCCCAGTGGCAATGCAAAGCAAGAGTGATGCATACGAGTGCGTTCATCACTTTCCCAAACCGACGGACGATGATTAGAGCTTGATTGTGCCCTTTCGAGCCGGCACGTTAGGGGGCTGTGGTGCTATGCTCCCCCTCAGGCTCCTGTGCAGCCAGCGCGGCTGAGTTCGCACGAAGCACCAGCGGCATCGCATCGGCGACGGCGTACTGTGATGTAGCTTACCATGTAAACATGTTTCACCACAGAAGAGCCAAAGAACTCGCAAGTGGAAAGATGACTCCTCGGTCCCAGGCTGGTTTGGCAGCCCGTTGGCAGTAGATATCCTTCGAGCTCTAGGGATGTTGGGGGGTCCAGCTCGAATGCCATCCCGGCTTCAACAACTGTGCGAAGATGTGACAAGTTTCTGATGTCAGCAAGCAGCGCAATCACTAGTGCATAAGGCCATTGCCGAAGCAGAGTCGTAGCGAGTTGAGTGGCATGTGGCCTGTTTTCGCGCAGGGCATGCTCGCCTCATTGCCTCCACAGACAGGGCTAGCGCGCCAGCAGCGCGAGCACTGTGTGAAAGGCCTCCCTTCCGTGACAGCCGCGGGGATCCCGAAAAATGTCCAATCCAAAGAGAACATCGAATGGTGGCCCACGAGGACATGTGCATTGAATGCAGTTGGGCTTGCATTTGTAGCGGCACAGTGCCGGCGCCGTCGTGCACTCACGTCACTGCAAGTTGCAAGGCGTGATCTTCTTGGCACTGGGCTGTTGTGGGTGGGCGCTGAACAAGCATCAGCTTCAGAAAGCCGTACAAATCCTACAGCTCCGGAGGTTGTGAAGACTCTTTGGGCTGGTGGCCTTAGCAAGGGGGAGGACCTCGATGCTTGGACGGCCGCCTTTGCTGCAGATTGCTTGTACGAAGACTTATATTATGGCCAACCTGCAACTGGTCGTGATGAGCTGAGAAGCTTGCTCCAGGATAAGCTACTACCGAAGGGTGCACGTATGATTCTGGATCATGTATCAGATGGGCGATCTTCATGTGGGTTTACCTGGCACATCGAACAAGAAGGAGTTGGAACAGGCCAGCGAGGTCTTTGCTTCCTTCGGTTAAACTCGAGCGGCAAGGTTGCTTATGTACGTGAGGTCGGTGAACCTCTTTTCAAGGCTGGCGTGCTAACTGAGCAGCTGCTGCAGGCCCTTACAAAAGACCAGCCCAAAAAGGTTCGAGCCCCGAGCGGCCCGAGCAAGTCCAACCAACAGAACCCACGCACTGCCGGAGACGTCGTGAAGTACTTGTACGGTGATGTCCAGCAGACGGGCGGTGATGCTGTTCAATTCTATGCAGAAGATGTCGTATATGAGGATATGAACTACGAGACACCCTTTGTTGGCAAGTCTGCCGTTGAAGGCTTCCTCAATCGGTTCCAAGACATTGAGGGCGTCACGTTTGTGCTGGAGGAGGTCTCCGATGGAGATCAGGCGGAAAACGGTGCAGTGGTGTAACATGAGCACGAACGTTTGTTGAATCAACAGTAACAAGCCAACAGCGTTGTTTCTTTTGTGTTTTTGCCACCCCTATGAACCCCCCTACTTGCAGCTGCACAGCTTGTCTGCGTTGGAGAATCATGGCGCCCTGACAATGTGCTTTGAGGCCGTGGGCTTCACCTACCACATCAACATTGCAGGGCAGTCCCGCTCTTAGTTCTCGTTTAGATGTGCAGTGCTCCTGGTTCATCCTGGTTCCACACAGATTTGCCAAGGCCACGCGGGATCCGTGGAGCAGCCTTCTACGAAGTCAATGACCAGGGCAAGGCCTGTGCGTACGCTTTGTACGGAGTTGAATGTGGAATGCAAAACGGTGCTTTAAGCAATGCCCAGGTGAAGTATGTGCGGGATGTTCCAGAATCGGCAGCCAAGCCGCCTCCAGTTCAGCAGGCCTGTTGCTTCGAAGATTCGAAGCTCGGGTTCTTTGGGACCCAGGGCGTTTTTATGCACAATGGAGCAGAGGCAAACGGACCGGAGGAGGTTTTGGAAAGTTCTGGGCAGTGGGCGACAGAAGTTTTGCTGGTTAGGGCTTAAGCTTGAGAGGACCGTAGGACAAGAGCTGCGCCCAACAACATGTTGATCAAAGGCTGCAAGGGTAAAGGATGGGTATAAACATTTTAAGATTTATATGGCAGAGTATGATCGATTACCGTTCCTGCAGGCCGCACGGCTCCTGAGGCCTGGTCTGAGGCGGCTGCAGCCAGCCTCGCCGCTTCCAGGACCCCATATTCGCGAAGCACTTTCCACTGTAATACGCTGTACAAGGCTTTGCACCGCAAAGTTGTGGCCCCACGACTTTCAATCGCCTTAAATGCAAATGCCGATCCGCAGGAGACATCGGCAAAGCTTGATACAGGGGCGCGGCCAGCACTGCACGGCGGCCGAGATGTGCTTGACCACTCAGACGAGCCCTGTACAGCCTTTCGACGAAGAAGCTGTCATCGATTCATGTGGACAAATCTCGCTTGTTGGTTTCCGTTATCCAAGGCACTCTTAAATCACCAAGACTCTACAGGCACAGTCACGAACATTTCCCTTGCTACGAAGAACTGCAAAAAGCACATGCCTCCAGGCTCAAAAAGTGTCGTCTTGACACCTTGCTGCATTACTTGACTGAGCTCAAGCCGAACACTGAAAACTCTTGCGACAACGAGAAGAGAGCAACAAGTCTCCTAAAAACGGAGTCGATCAACACGGAAATGTAGCTGGACCGGCGTAGTTCTGATGAAGAAGGGGGCTTCACAATGTTGGACCGGATGGAACTCGAAGACCGCACCATCAGCTTTTTGCTCGATGCAGCCACCCGGTGCCCCAAAAGAACTATGTGCTTTGTCGGTGGATGTGAGTGGACTCTTGGACATATGTGCGGACATCACTTT